GCCATGGCCCACGGGTGCTGCCCTGCTGCCCCCAGCATCACCCCAGGGTGTCACAGCTCTGTGAGGTGCCCCAATCCTGCCCCCTCTGGGTGCTCTTAGCTGGGGCAGTGGGACAGGGGTCACACCTCTACCACCCCCCCCACCCCCCCGAGCTTTTGGGAGCTAATGTGGTCCCCTCCACACAGAGCCACAGGATGTGTGATGCCAACCTAGCGCTGGCAGAGCCCACAGGCTTCGGCCACCTCCTGCCTCGTGTGGGTGCTGGTTTGGGGTCCAGCAGAGCCTGGCTGGGGCGGGGTGGTGCCACCTTCCCCCATCCGCGGGGACACACAGCCGTCCCTGTGCGCCGGGGGGATGCAGCGTGGCTGAGGCCACCAGGTCAGCTCCCTGCTCTCCACCCGCAGCACTGCCAGTGGGGGGGGACCCACCGTGGTTTTTACAGGGGGTTTTCAGCCGGATCAGCTCCCTGGACCAGCTGGACCTGTCCCACAGCACCACGCTGGCACACGGAGGGGGCTGCAGCAGGACTGGACGATGCTGCAGCAACTCATCCTCCGCTCAACTGCGAGCCAACGGCTGCACGTTGCTCTTCAAACAGCTCTGGGAGACTCAAATGCCCCAACCCAGCCTGGCCACGTGAGCCTGGGACTCGCCTCTGCCAACAGTCCTGAGATTAACTCTGGCCCAGGACTGCTTTGACAGCTCCCATGAGACCGCTGACAGCCCCGAGGGAGGCACCTGGGCTGCCCCGTGCGTCGAGGAGCCCAAGCACATCTCGGGCAGCTGCTATCCTTAACCGGAGCCAAGGGGCTGGGGAGGATGGAGTGGGAAGGAGGAACCTCTGCCAGGCAGGGGTGCCACTAAGTGTCACCTTGCTGCAGGGCAAGGGGTGTTGTAGTGGCTCCGTTGTGGCCTCATGTCTCTGCTCTCCCTGGGCAGCTGCTGAGGCTGATGCTGAGCCAGGGAGGGGTCCCTGGGGTGCTGAGCTCGGCTGCCGGTGCTGCAGGTTCTCGTCCATCCCCGCAGGTCTCGGCAGCACCCAGCAGCCTCTCCTCTTACCCCAGGGAAGGGTCTGCTGTGCCAGGCAGCTCTCCCCCCACCAGCAACCCTGGCCCAGGGACGTGCTGCAAGCCCAGCCCTGGAGGCAGCTGGAGGTGACATGGGATCAGACAAGATGGAGCAAAACGATGGAAAAAGAGTCAGGAGGTGCTGCTGGATGTCAGGATCCCTCCTCCCCGTGAGGCAGGGTGTCAGATGAGGGGGTGGCAGGTGACGTCCCCGGGGGACGCCAGACTGGCGCTGTCAGCATGGTGGGCAGGGAGGAGGGCAGAGAGGCAGCGGGCAGGCGCGGGCAGAGGGCTATGTGCTGCCGCCAGGGCCAGACGCGATCTCAGAAAAAATCCATCACAGCCCTGCAGTGCCGAGCGGGCGGAGGGGGATCAGCCGCCCACAGATCCCCTGGGAATGGCTCTACTGCGGGTGACCCTGGGTGCTGGCAGCCTCAGGAGCTGCTTCTCCAGAGAGAAGAGAGGACTGAGCCCAGCTGAAGTTTTCCTCCCCAGAGTATCCAGCTCTGATGGGTACGGGATGTCCCCCGAGAGCCTGGCACTGGTGGGGGGCACCCCCTGCCTGCCCTCCCGGGGAAGCAGCCCCCTCCTAGGAGCTGGATCTCTGTCCGGGGGGGCTGCTGCCCTGGGGCTAGGCTGGGCACTCGGTCTTTTCTCTCCTGGCAGTGAGGTGGGGATGGAGGTGGGCAGCAGCCCTGCCTGGTGCGATGGAGCTGACCCCTGACCTGGGGGACGTGGGCTCAGCACTGCTCGGGCCGGGCAGGCTGGTGGGGTGAGGTGTGATGGCTCCATGCAGGATCTGGCCCTGGAGAAACCCACTTGCACCGTGTTGGCTGGCGGGGGCCAGCCTGGCTGAGGAAAGCTGCTGGTGCTGCAGGAGGGGCTCGCTGTCTCGGCCAGTCGGGGAACAGCATCAAGCTGAGCCAAAGCTCTGGCTACAAACACCTCCAAGCTCAGAGGTTTGACTCTCAAACTGGCTCTACACTCACAGTTAAAGCTCATCTCTCAGCACCCTCCTGGCCAGAGAGCTGTGAAATCCATCTTTACAAAGCCAATATGTAAAATGCTCCTTTTGGAAAGACATCCTTAAAATTAAGTTCTTTTCTCCTGTACAAAGGTCACAATCCATAAAGCAAAGTCCCAAGAGCTCCCTGCAACTCCTGGCCACTTCGTGGCCCTGCTCACAGCACCATCCTGCTGCAAAACCTGCTGCAAAGCCCTTGGAGATGGAAACTGGAATCCACCAGAGCATTTGCATGAGGATATGGGGATTTTTTCTGTCTGAATTATTTAACAGAAGCAGGTTGTGCTTCATGCAGTGTGGGAAGAATGGAGTTTATTGAATCTAGAAAGCTCCTGGCTCGTTGAAAATAGAAGTATTTGTTGTTTCTCTCTAGTTGGTTTTGGCTGGATGATCAAGCCCGGCAGCATCCCACCCAAGCCAAAACAGCAGTGGTGGGAGTGAGAGAGGGAACCCGAGCAGGGCTTAGTGCTGAATTCAGTGGAACCAGAAATCCAAAGCAACTGGATAATGAAAGCAAGGAAAAGCCTAAAGAAAAAATTAGGGGAGCCAGAAAGTCAAAGAGACAGGAGCCAGATTGAGAGTCAGATCAGAAACAGGCATTTGTTAGAAGAGGATGGATAGAAAGTGAGACCTGATGAATACATGAAAGGGAAATAGTCTAAAATGCGACAGTGAAACGGAGTCAAGCCAAAAAAACCCAAACCTGCCAGAATTAGAAAGCATTAGGTAATGAAAGCGCTCTCCTGGGGCCCCCCGGCAACCTGCCACAAAGAGCAGCAGCTAAACAGCACCGAGAGTCCCTGACTCCCAGCTGCCCCCCGCGATGTTAATGCAGGGAATGTTAACAGCACACGTCAGCCAACAACTTAAAACTCTGCTCGGATTTTTATTTAGCAGCATCTTTCCTAGCCCCGGGGTGCAGGCATCCCGCAGGCCGGCAGCGCTGCCCGCCTGGCTCCTGGAGCAGGCAGGCAGCAGGCAGCGGGCAGCAGGCAGCGGGCAGCGATACCTTTCCGACAGGTAACGCCAGTTTAGTCCAATCCAAAGCAATTCACACGCTGGAGTGAGCATCAGGAATGCTCACTGGGCTTATCTTCCTCTCAATAATATCGTCTTTGCAATCTCTCCTCTTCTTCAAATTGTTCTGAACACGATGCTTTCCTAGTCAGGCTAAATCAAATATTTATTGGTGCTGCAGCACACTGGCAGCGCTGGCTTGCGTCAGCACTTTTTCTCTAAAAATGCCTTTTTTGGGAGCTCCTGGCTGTCTCCAGCTTCTGCCTTTCAAGCTGCTGTTTTCTGCATACCCGACTTAGACTTTGGAGCAAATTTAGGGTGGGGAAAATCTAAATGTCAAATGCAAAGAGAGGGGGGGAAATACTTGCTCAGTATTATGGAAAATTCCCTGTTGTTATGGCATGAACTGTCCCAGTGCCTTGGACACCAGACGGCTGGTGAATATAAAAACATGGATAGTTTTCTTTTGATTAGGGAGAGGTGGTGACAGGACAGCATTAGAAATATCTCTGACTGGGCAAGAGTCTCTACACCAGGGAGGCACTTGGATATTAGGATGAATGCAAGAAAAAAAATCATCAATAGATCTTGAGTTCAGCTGCTTCAGGCCCAGCAGAAATCCATTTTCATGCTGCCAAATCACAATAATAATAAAAAAAAGATAAATCTTTGTACATGCTCACTGGGCTTTGCCATAGGACAATGTTTTCTTTCTTTAAGCCTCTCCCGCTCCCTTGGCACGGGCTGGGAAAATCTGTGCAGCAGAGTGGAAATGTGCTTTCAACAACCCCGTCCCGCTGCCAGGGGCAGGTGAGGGTGAGCTGGGGGAGACCAGGTGGGTCTGGGACAACCGGTGTGGTCTAGCTGCTGCCCGTCTCGCTGCCTGCACCTCTGCCCATCTCTGTGCCTGCACCGCTGCCCGAGCACCGGGCAGGTTGGGGCGGTGATGGTGGCGCAGGGCTTTGCAGACTTGGGTAATGGCAAGTGCTTTCTGGGCACAAGAGTGACTGAAGGCTGAGGTGGGTTTTAAGACATTCTTTAAATCCCAAAGGAAATTCGTAATGCTGATCTGCTGGCAAATAGGGCTGATAATCTGATCCCGTCGTTACTGGGATAATTACAGAGTCACCAGCAATCCCCCATCTAATGGTGACATCTGATGTTATGGCTTAAGGCAGAAGGAGAAAGCATCCTCCTGAAGAAGATGCCTCCTTATTCACCCTTTCCAACTAAAATTATAGATAGCAGACTAAGTTATTTAGTACCCCTATTAAAGATGCATGGGTCCTGCCTGTTTTTGGAGCATGTTTGAGGAGGAACAGTGCCGAGGCAGGTAAATGCTGCTTTTCCAGGGATCCTGCACCATGCTGATGAATAGCGATGAACATGCTCCATCGGCTTTGAACATGAAAGGCCAGCAGCTAACCCTGAGCTGCAGGAACTTCTGCATTTTATTTGCAGCAATTTTGCTTTGTTTTAATGCATATGTATGGTCCCTGGCTGCTTCACTGAGCAGGTGTCTCCAGGCTATTTTAATCCATTATCCCCTCTGAACTAAGAGATGTGATCTCTGCAGCAGGCACTGAAACTGGGGGTGGGAAGGGAAAGCCGAGCCCTGATACCCCAGTGACGGGCCGGGCTTGTGCTGTGGAAACTGCCCGAGGCTCTCCCAGGTGTCATGGCCAGGCTGGGGGAGCTCAGAGGATTTGTGTGGGAACCAGCCTCACACCTTGGGTACTTCCAGAATAAACAAAACCATCTCACACAGCTACACACATTAAACTCCATGTTTGCTCAACCAGGAACCTCATTCTTCGCTGAGGGACTGGGAAAGCACCAGTTTGGTGCTGGGAGGCAGGGCCCCTCTGCTCATCTCACCCCTCGAGCACCCGGGGTGTCTCCGGGGCATGGGGCAGACCGGGGATCAGCAGCAGAGCCCCAGCCTGGTGCAAGGGTAGGGATGTTCGTGAGGAAGGATGGGGAGCTGAGTCAGGTCTGACAGTAACCAGGTCTCCAGGAACTCAGCTAAGGGCCAGTGGCCGGGGAAGGTACGTCTAGGAGGAGGAGGAGGAAGCTGTAGGTGCTTGAGGTTGTAACAGCCTGCAGCGGTTTCCCCCTTTCCCAGGGGAGCTCATACAACCCGAGAGCACAGTCACCGGCAACGGGGCCGGGCACGGGCACAGCGCTCAGCAAGGATCTCCATGAAGCCATTGCTGGGGGCTGGGCACCAGTGGAATTCCTCAGAGGTGTCCCAGCAGAGCCCCGGCACACAACGACACACCAGTAAAGGAGTCTCTGCTCTGGAGGTCTGGCAAAACCCCGCTCTGCCTCCGGCTCTGCCAGCTCCAGCTCCTAGCCTGGCTGGTCTGGAGGATCACTGAGCAAATGCTGTCACTGCCTCAGTGCCCCGCTCCCTGGCAGAGAGGAGGGCTGGTGTAATGGGGGAGGAGGTCAGGACGCACATGGAGAAGCTCTTCAAGGACCTGCGAAGTCCAGCCTGTTCAGAAGTGGCAGAGGGCAGCGCTCAAAGCCCCAGCGAGCGAGCAGAGGTACCTTGCTCACCACCAACAGGCCCAGGAGTGTCTCCTGCTGACCTCCCCAAAGCCCTTGTTCAGCGCTGTGGCACTACGATGGCTTTGCCCTGCCATCTCCAGCAAGAGCTCCGTGCTGTGACCTGTTCTGGCAAGGTCTGGCTAAGCCGAACCTCTCAGACACTTGTTGAGACCGGGGCTGGGCTCCCTCTCTCCCAGCGCAGGGCCCAGCCCAGCCATGTGTTCGGGTACCGGGGTATTCATTTCCACACAGGCAGGCACCCCGAGGTGCTGTGGGATGTGCAAATCAACAACCAAAAAAATTAACTTCAGATGCTAGTGCATTAAAAAACCTTACAGTGAAGCTTTTGTGCTGAGGACAGGAAGGCGAGAAGGGTGATGCGAGCCTTGCTGCAGGATTGTACGTCAGCTGTCTGTGGCCTGAGCCCAGGAGAAAGCAGCTCACAGAGGGGGAACAGCATCAGGGGGTTGGAAGCCAAATTCTTGGTGGTAAAGGGCTCTGATCCCAGCATTGGGATGTGAATTGATGCAGCTGGAAACCCGGGTCTCCCAACACGTGGCCCAATACCGTAAAGCTGATGACTGCTTTCACCAAGAGCCAGACATCACTGAAGTCTGTTTAACATAACTTTCTTTTTTTCTCCCTCACAATAAGGATTAGAAAGCCATTTCCAAACCCGGCACATGCCTGATTTTCACTGACGTTCCCTTCATCCCCTCCCCCCGGCCAACAGGGACCAGAATTTATCTCCACTTTAACATGGAGTCGATCAAGGCAGTGTGAGAGAGCTTTATGCAACCAGGGTGCCCATGTATTTCTGCCCTGCCCCTGGCTGTTCCTCCTACCGATGAGAATTCGGCTACATATAGGGGCAGAGATGTCTGGAGCAGGCGCAGTGGGCACACAAATCCTCCTTCTGCCAGCAACACCTCTTTGCTTTTGCCGATGTGACATTAGCTCCCTTCGCCTCGGCAAGGAGGAGGGCACTGAAACTCCCCAGCGCTTCATGGTAACAACACATTCGTTACGGCTGATTCTCTGTACGAGTGTTATAGATCTCCATTATTAACCAGGCTGTTCTTCATGACTAATGATAGCGTAATGAATACATTCATGCTGTAAAATACAATGTGCCTGCCACCAGGCAAATGCATAATGGGGAAATTTGTGACTGCAGTTCACGTTTTCCAAACACAATTTGCCTTCTGGTGGAAGAGCAGCACAGGTTGATCTGCAAGTCTGCTTCCTGGCATTGTTCATGTAGGTCACATCCACCTGTAAAGCTCCGGGGGGACCCTGGGGAGGTGGTGAGGAGCGTGGACGGCTCTGAGCACTTGTGTGAGATGTGCCGGGAGGGGCAAAGGTTGTGCTGGGGGAGTGAGCGCTGCTGCGTAGCTGAGTGCTGCTTGGAAAATCAACGAGCTGGCCAGCGCCTGGCTCAGCCACAGGCCCGTCTTTTCCAAATGCACTCCCAGACTGAAAGGTCACATGGCTACTTGCAGTCACTTGTGGTCATCGCCTGCATTTCCTACACAGTACATGGGGCAGTGGCCCAGACCATGGTCCCCTCCAGCAGGAGGGGTGTGATGGGGCAGCTCTGGGCATGGGCACCAGGGTGAGGTTGGAACAGAGCACAGCTTGACAGGGGAGATGCTGTGCTGCTGCTACAGCCACGACCTTGGGCTGTGACCTACATCGGCTGGCTACCCGGGAGCAAGCACATTCAGCCAGTGTCCATGCTTAAAATTTGGGCTGGTTTTAATAAAGTGGTGCTGCTTCACACAGAAAAGAAAGATGACTAGGACAGGACTTCTCCAGAGAATGTGCGCTCTCAGTTTTCAGATCTGCAAGGTGGCAGACACAGGGCCTGAGCCTCCTGGCTGGCTGTAACAGAGAGGGTGCTTTAGCAGCCTTTACTCTTAGCATGCCGACTCCTGACCTGCAGAGCCAGCGGGTGACAGTGACCGGGTGATTCAGGACAGCCTGACTCGCTTTGCTGCCTCCGAGCCATGAAGAACCAGCTAGTGCAGGAGGAGCACACAGGGGTTTGGTCTTTACACTCCAGAACAGCCACACCAAAAGGAGACTTTGGCTCCGCAGTGGGTACCTGGATTCCTCTCCCACCTGTAGTGACAGTTTTGGTGTGATCTGATGGGAACAGAATTGCTTTGCTGACAGGGAACTTGGCCAGACAGTTGCCTGCATCTCAAACCCTGCACCTCGGATTGCGTGGGGAGCTGGCGGTGACGTGGGCCTTCGGGACCGCCTGGCTAGCTCTCACAGGCTCCACTCCTGTTTTCATTCTCCTAGCATAAGTACAAATGTTTTGCCTGTCTGTCCCACATTCCGGAGGTTTGATCCTGCCTTCCAAACCACAGCAAGCATTGCTGCAGAGCTTGTAAAACCTGCTGGAGTGTTTATCGCTGCATAGCATCAGGTCTTGACTCCAAAGAAAAAGAGGAAAGAATTACTTAATGCCTTTGCTAAAGACTCCATTAATAAGAGCAGAGATATTTTAACCAGAAGGAATATGACTTGTGCAGTGTTTGATGGACAGCATATGTGCACAGAAACCCTCCAAGCCAATCCAAAAGGATCCACCCTTATTGTGCTGCAAGTAGTAAATGTTTTTAGTGGCATAAAAGGAATAATGAGCAATCATACCTTTAAATTCCTATGCCCCACTGCCGACCAGAACAGCTAATGCTATCAACAGAGGTATGCCAGTATCTACCTGACTCCGCCTTTAAATCATCCTCTTAGTTAACTAAAACATTTGTACGTCTTAGCATTAAAGAATGCAACATTTTGCTGCCATTTTAATTTATGACAGAATTCTCACAGGCCTTCAGTGCCTGCAAAAGAAATATTTACTTCACTTGCATCACTTCACAGGCTGTCTGCCTACACTGATCTTTAAACAAACAGTATCTTGAAAGCTGTTGGTTTTAATACTAGATACGATACCGGGTACTCATTCTCAGACTAAATACATATTTCATGCAAATTTGGAGCCTGTTCGAAAAAATAGGGCAGTGACCAGGAATTTGAGTGTGTCTGGCTGGAAACATCCAGGCATTTTTAGAAATGACTACACTCTCACCCTTGAAAACTAGGCCCCTGAAGAGAGTTTTAAATTGGACACCACAAATGAAGAAGCCCCGACATCCTTGTATTCCTTTGAGAACATTGATTTAAAAGCTTGACTCAAAAGAGCTTCCCAGTTAAACGCCTGAGTTGGAGCTGAGGGCTTTTTCAGGACCAGACAAATTAAAATGAACACAGAAGACTGAATTTACACAACAAGTTATTCATTAAAGAAAGCGACAGAAGGGGGTAGGGAAGAGGGGAAGACCACGTGAAAGCAAGAGTGAGCCCACAAAAATGAGCAGGCATACAAGTACGACTATGCTAGAAGACTATCAGGAAAGGTGGCAGGAACAACATGCAAGTGTTATAATAACAGCCAAAATGATTTTCAGAAGTGACAAATCCTTTCACACCAATCTAAAAGGAACAGCAAAATCTTAGCCCCCTGAAAAAATCAGACCTATTTATTCAGCACTAGCAAGGATATCTGAAGGATCTGGTAAATGCATACCAGACAGGATAAAAATAGTATCTCCTCTAATACTACAAATGCTTTAAAACAGCCTCAGCTGTAAGAGAGAAGAGTTGCTAGGACTGGTGGAGGAAGTACCAGCCTACCAGCTCCTGTGCCAGCTGTTAGTGCGAGTCTGGGTATTTCCAGAGCAGGATGGCACCATCTGCACTGACGCTCACAATGTACTTGTTCGCAGGGCAGATCTTGAGACGGCTGATGTTGCCACTGTGGCCCACTCCAGTGTGAGTCACTGCACCCTCGTTGTAGTCCCAGAGTTTCACCAGACGGTCATCACCACCTGCATTGGGCACAAAGGAAGAACAAATGATTACAGAGAGTTCTGCTGCTTTTTGTTCCCGGATGGCAGGAAGGGGAATACGTGGGCATTCATTTGATTTAGGAAAGGTGGGACACATTGTCTTGGGCATTATAGTAAAACCAAATTATTTTCAACTGAAGTAGACAGCCAGTGTCCAGTAGTGTCCAGCAGATCACAGGGAGCTACAGCCAGTAAGCGGTACCAGTAACACAGAGGACCTTCGAAATGCTCTTAACCAACATTCATTTATCAGTTTAATCTAAACCAACTGGTACTGACACCAAATCTGTGTTTTTTAATGGTAGCCAATATACACAACACTGTGTCTCCACCGTGCTAGTGCGGGGCTCCCAGAGGAGATGTCACAAGGGCGGGGAACGTGTGAGCCTGAGGCTGCCTGGAGCCATTCCCACTTGTGAAGCGACAGAGACTGCCAGGCTTCTGGAGTCGGACACTTGAGCAAATCAGTCAAGTGCACGGGGAACACCACTGAACTAAATGAGGAGCAGGGCAAGATGAAACCCTGTACTCCCTTGGAGACATCTGAACTTTGTCTTCGCCTTTACATTACACCTTGTAAGACTCAACTACAGTATGTTCCAAGTCTGAACCACAGACTTTTTCTAAGTATTTTTCTTCAATGATTCATTTTATTTTCCCCTTTAGCTGACCCCTCCTTTCCATTTTTTTCTGTCTTTACTGAGATCCTTGGTTCACTGCCTTGCTTTTCCTGGTCTTAATATGACCTCCTCTTTTCTAGTTTTAGCCACCACTCACCCGTGACAAAGTATGCCCCATCTGATGTGATGTCCATTCCGTTGATGGAACCTGATGTAGACCCTTCCAATTCTCTGATCACAGAGCCATCAAACACTTCCCAGTATCCAATCTGGAGAGCAGACCAGAGAGGAGGGCTCAGTTGTGCACCAAGAGCAGGCAGATTTCAGCACTGCCCTGTAACACAACCTTCTGTGGAGGTACAGGAGTTTCATCACGTAACAAGTGCCAGACTTTGTGTTTTGGAATTCCTGCAGACAGAATTCCTGCAGTTTTGCTTACCCTTCTGTCTGTTCCACTGGTGATGATCTGGTACTCTTCAGGATGATAGCACACACATTTGAACAATGTGTTGGCTAGAATCATTTGTTTTCTTATAAAACGTCTGCAAAACAGCCCCAAAACAGGATAGAGCAATAGGGTCAAAAAATGAACTTTGACTGCCTGAACTATCTCTGCTGTGCTTATACATCAGATCTTCTGCTTGGATATTTTCAGGTTCAGTTCAGGGTTTCATG